AAAAAATCAGCTTCCCACTTTCACCTTGCCGCAACTATAGTGGTGATGTAGCGTATCTGGGGGGCTTGTTCAGGATTTTGTGGAGCCGATATTTTTTCTTTGGTTCACACCTGAACGGCAGTGTGTTCGTATACTTTATAAATATACGGTATGTACAGTGTGATACCATATGGTTTCAGAGCCACTACAGTGCAGTATGTGTGAAATATTTTTCTTAATCATATTTTAAAGTTAAGTTTCTCATTGCAGAAATTTGTATTGAGACAAAATATAGATCTGGATGTAAACGAGGCACATCGTGTTCACAACAAGCTATAATAAACTATTTTTACACATCTGGCTATGTCAAAAATTATAGCCAAAAGGATCGCTCTAAAGGTTCATTCCAAGCTGAAAAGACCAGACTCGGCTCGTCTTCCCTATAACCCTGCGGTTTACAGCTTGTCTGTGGTCATTCATTATTATTAATAAAATTATAAATTATCATTTAAATTGGCAAGCTTTTACAAATATAAAAAGAGGCGATACAGAACTTGCACCTCTATGACTCTTCAATTTACAGGATAATTCCTACAGAGCCACACAAAATAGTCAACCACAGTCACTGGCTCACTTAAAGGTGTAACACGTCTGTCTTCACTCTCATGGTACGGTTTCAACATGTTGATAAGCTGTTCTCCGGTTACTGGTAATTGTAAACATAACCCTTGTTCCCTCCTTTGTTTAACTTGAAGGATTTCTTCACGGAATTCTTTATCTCGAAACCATCACTTATAATAATTCATCAGATACACACACACACACACACACACACTCGTGCTGGAGCACAAGTAGTGCTCTTATGATGTATTCTTAGAAAATAAAACTAACTTTATGAAGTGCAGTATATAAACTTCATTAGAACAAGCACGTTAAAACCATAACCTGCTGTAATGCATAAAATATTCATGAAGAAGGTGGAATAAAATGTTGTGTACCGTTTTGCATTTAGCTACCACTATTATCTACTGTGTGTACATTAGGTATGTAATTACATTATACTGCTGTTTTTATTTTCAGCTACCAAAATGTACTTTTGGATTTTCTCTCTGGATGTAAACCTGAAAGAGGCACATCATGTTCACAAGCTACAGTATAATCAACTTTTTTATATATCCAGCTGAACAATCTTTCTTTTATCAAATGTATGTTCTTTTTAATT